GTCCTTTGAGTGCGTCCTGGATTAAATAAAACAGTGTTAGCAAATGTGACTTTAGGTGTTACACAGTTGTGTGCCTTGCATTGAAATATTTCACTTGAAATATCTTATGAAATCACTAAAATTAGCTTTTTAAAAATAGATCAAATGTATCTTAGATTTTATGAAATGTAAATTATGATGTCAGTTTTCAAAACATGTTTATTAATGATGTTATTTTTTCTTAACACTGCTGCTTTACTGGTTAAAGTTAGGGAAAACTTGTAATTAGATCACGTTATTACCTCTGACTAACAAATATGAGCCGCTCCATTCAGTATTCTTGAACCACTCAGTGATTCCACAGTGGTAGATTCCCTCGTCCTCTTGGTTTGCCCTCAAAATGGTCAGGTTGGTGGAATTTTCATTGTAATTAACCTTCCATCTTGTTGAGTAAACTCAGCAGAAAACTCAGGTTGTGCAGATTCCTTCAGTGTCCATATTAATTTTAGAGAGTCCCCGGTACTCTGCTTGTACCAGTCGACTTCTCTACGGCTGAACTGTGAATTCTTACGCAGATCACATGTGAAGGTTACAGTTTCACCAAGCTGAACTGAAGTTATCGGGATAAGTGTATCTAAATTCAAAGAAAACATACAGAATCTACAATATTAAGTCACAATGACCTAGGAAAATCACCACAGAAACAAAATTCATGTATGGAGAAACCTTGAACAGAATAAAGAAAAAACTTACATCCTCGATGGAGATAAAGCAGTGTAACCAATAACACGATCATCTTGAAAGTGTCTCTTTCCTTGAGCTTGAAGGTATTTCATTGACTGTAGGAGGTATTACAGCATGTCACACTGTCAAATGAATCTGATTGGTTACCACAGAATAAAGGTTCAAGTGCACTTCCTGTCACACATTTCTGTTGTCCAGGGCAGGTCATCTCTTCCTTATATATTTAGCCATTTTAATTATAATGTAAATTCCTTTTCTAATTAATGTTAGGGGTTCATCTTGTAGTTGTTTCGTCTTTGCTTTCCAATATTGACTTTCTTTGTTTATCATCTCTCAGCAATTTATCCAACTAAGTGATCGTTTTGGTCATTTGTTCCTATCATCTTCGAACAACCCCCTTATAGTGTTTCTCAGTAGAAATGCTGTATTTTCACCAGTTTAAAATGTTCATGTTAACATTCTAAAGTTTAAACTTTCCTTTCAGTCATTCACTACTTTTCGTTTGCTCCATGTTGACACACCTTACTACTTTTTGTTTTTATTTTCACTTCCTGCCTGGTTAGGTTTAGACAATAAATCTAGGTTAGATCTTGAGTGTTATCTGATTTACAGTGCTCTGTCCTATCTAAGAGTGAAGACACCAGCACACATTTTACATGCATTTTCTTTACTTCCAATAGAGGTAGCTTTAGTCTAAAATTTAAATGGTCACAATTGCAGCTTGCACAATGGATCTATAGGGTCATTTCTGGTGTGTGGACTATTTGTGTTTTTGCTGCACAGCTATTTAGTGAGCTAAACACACTTCCAGCAACATCAGAAAGAACATATATATAGTGTAAAGCCCTACCCCACCCCCCTTCCAAGTCAACAAATACATTAATTTGTTTGGTTTGGTTTTTTTTACCAATTAAGATCCTCATGAGCCGTTAAGATGAATTGGTTACCGTGGCGGGGCGCGGCAGGGAAGGCGGAGGCACCTGCACGGCATTGTAATAACGCCACGCCAGCTTAGTGATGTGTGTGGCTGGCAGCTGGGATGCTGCAGCCGTGAAAGTGTGTGAACAGCAACCGGTTAGTAAAGTGTTGAGACTAGTAGTTAAACATATGCCATTTTATGACCAGTAGTCAATGTAGTAAATTAGCTTAACAGCTGTAGGCCATATATTATCCTTTAGTTCTAATGGTGTGCTATGTATGTAGTTTAGTCTTTATTATACTCTTGAATAAAAGAAACATAATCATTTGTAGTTCATTAGACAAAGTGTGCATTACTCTGTATCCTTGATCAGCTGTGAATGTCTGACACTGTTTTCTTGAAATGTTTTATTGCTGAATCATGTGAAGAAGGCTGTAAGAGGGAGACTAGGTGTCTGGGCAGAAGAGATAAAACCACATTCTTTACCCCCCTTCCTACTTCACACAGAAAGACAGGGAGGCAAGGTCAGGAGCCAGGCTCGCTAAGAATTAGAAAAACATGTGAAGATGCAGCTTTTATGACAAGGAGGGGGGCTGTTACTAGCTATAAAAGTCTGTGAAAGTTGCTACCATTTTGAGACA